GTTTGAATATATTTGAATGGAAGCTGCATTGTTTTCACTCAGCGCTTGGCCTCTTGTTGCCCTCTGACGTAATGACACACCTTTTGTTTGCAAGGTTTGGATTCAAACGATGCGCCGAGCGTTCAGAACAAGAACATTCTGGTTATTCTCCATCTGTAATTACCGCTCACCTAAATGCATCAGGTTGGACCATCTTATCTGGTTGACTTTTCGCTTTATCTGTTTGGTGGTGTTTCTCTGGGAACACCAAAGGAAGTAATATTGCATCAGAATGCTAATTCCCATTAGGCTTACCTTAATGCTGTGGTGCGCTGCTAGGTAGTGTCGGACCGGTGGTCCCATTTGACTAGGTCTGATTTCGGAAAACGCGCCAGATCCGCGGATTCTCTCCCTGCTCCAGGAATTTTGATATTCGTCTGAGTGGCGGAGCTTGCAGGGAGCATTAGGGAGTGGGTCGATCTCCCACGTACCCTGCTTTACATTTCAAATCTTAGCTTATCCAAGGATTTCCATACCATCTATTTGAATATTTTCCACTCTGAAAGCTGGGAATTAGTGTGCTGAAACACTGCCGTTTCATAATCCTTCATATGACAGTCGCAAACTTCGTGATAATAGATGCCCCTCATCCCTGCGAGAACGAAAAATTACAAAGGAGATATTAATGTCTCAATTGTTTCTCCAAGAGAGCAATGAGAAGAAATAAAGCATAAACAGAGACTGGAGCTTCACCAAAGTGCTCAGATTTGGCAAGATTTCTGCAAGATGTCAAATCAAATATTTCTTATCAAATGGGTCCATGAACAAACTATGTGGGCTGTTATGCACAATTTTGTAAAAATGAATATTATTCATTTTTTTTACAAATATTTGCTCTTTTTGAATGCCAACAACTGTTTTTATTTCTTCTAAGGGATTTTAGGAGAAACGTTTCATAATTAAAACATAACTAAGAGCTCCATTAAATCTTCTGAGTTATTAAAGAACAACTCTTGAGCAGTGAAATTCTCATTCATGTAAATGCCACATATATTCAGATACACATTGTATGCATGTGAACAGAGATTATTATGGTTACAAAAGGAAATAAAATATGATTAATCTGCACTAACGGCATACTTCGTTGGCATCCAGCTTTGGTCATAGATTGTCTTTATATAGAAAGCCATTGTCCTTTTTGCAACAATTTCATAATTTCTCACCCAGTTTCTAAAAGATAATGCATCATGAGAATTGTTACAGGCACACCTGCTTGTGGTTTGCATAATAATAATCAATCCCTCCCTGCAGGAGCTACACGCAGACAAAGGTCAACATTTATTTTGATGACCTTTAACCTAATGCATTTTCTGTACGCTTAGTTTTAGAGCAGTACTGCCACTTTAAAATGATTAAATAATAGTGATTGAACAGGATATAAATATGTTTCATTTAATCGATTTCAACTGAATACTCACTGTAAATATTATGTGTGTGGCATGCTTAATGTGCTCTTTTAGCACCTATCAGTTATTTCTGGTAATCACATATGGATCTTACATTGTTATAAGTGTAATCAAAGCTGATTTTTAAAAAAATCATAAATAACTCGATATCTTTATCAAATCATTCATATGTCTCAAGTACACCTCTGTGGTGCATCTTTCCTCAATTTTTTTATTCTCAGTCTCTATTCTTACTTGTTCTCTAAACACTTGTTGAGTGTTTGTTGAGGCCATCATTGAGTCAGCGTCTATTTCTGGTCTAGTCTCAGGTGTTCCTGCTAATCAAATCACACTTATTCATTATCTTCATCCTTTCAGGCATTCGACTATTATCATCCTGCTATTTCTTTACTTCCACCCTGTTGCTCTCACCCTCAACTTTTAGATTCAACCTATTTGTCTTTTTAATTCTAAAACACTGTGTTCCTCTCGAGGCAATCCTGCCCCTGCACCGCTGCATCTTCTGATGAGGCCTTTTAAATTATTGCTTTTTCTCTTAAAAAGACAAATGTCAAAGAAGATTAGAATTTTAGGATTAGATTAAAAGATAATGCACGACAAGGGATAAAATATAAGGAGGATAACAGACGCAAATAAGACGAGCCACGCTAAACCATTTCGCAAACTACTATTAATCTTGCATCAAATGTGTTTTTCATCTGCTAGTAAGCCACACGTTTAGTCAATATGATGCGTTGTGACACTGCACACCCACACATAAATCTGTGCGATATGACTTCAGGTCAGATGTAGTGATATGCACGACCACAGGATTGTTCAGGAAGTTATCAAGGCTGCATCATCTCTAAAGTGTTAGCTGGCAAACTCTACTTTCTCTCTCACATGTTAGGAGTACAGTGGTGCTCAAGTCTGTAATTAGCCGGGTACCAAAGCATGGCATCTGTGATGTGAGCTGGCTGGCGGGGGAGAGAGGCTACGCTGCTTCGTAGGAGGTACTGCGTGTGTTTGTTTACGCTGCGGCGGAGGCGTGTTAGCCTGTTACGCCACTCACCTGTCACAAAAACAGCGAGGAGCAATCTGGTTTTAAATTCTGGAGAACGCCCACCCAAAACTCTTATCCTTTTTCCTTGCCGAGACTGTTTTCCCGTCTGTCACTCTGTCGTGGCCACACCACACTCAGAAGTCCAACTTAATGCATGGCTATATTAAAATGATGCTTTTAAAAAATAAGAAGAAGAAAAGAGGAATTTGAAACCCCTAAAATTGAAGTGGTGGTCATAAACTTGTGTTTCCCCTCACTACTTCCCCTAAGTTTATCAGAAAGGATTTCTTTATCAACTCTACAAAAGCAAAAATGTTTCTTTCCAATCCTATCGAAGTCCAACTTTAGGGCTCTTGACGCACTTTACACGTGCATCTTTTTTTTTTTTACCGTTTATATCGTAAAACAATGCATGTGAAGTCTCTTGGGGCCCTCTGATAAGACAATGACTTCAACGTGATCCCGTTCTACCTGCAGTTGCTAAGCAACATCCACCTCCAACCTCTCACTCAGACTCATTGGACAATCTTGGAAACACAGCTGTCAGCTCATTGGCTCAGAGGAAGTTAATTAACTTTAGTCACAGCCTTCCCCTTTCAGAAAAAGAGGGGGAAAAAAGCTCAGGGTACAATTTTTGTGAATGAGAGAGAGGGAGGAACAGAAGCAGGCTGAAATACTGAGGGAGTGTCAGTGCTCATGTTTTCTTGATAACTAAAAAAATAAAGCGGACAATGAAAGCATGCTGCAAATTGTCAGTTATGAGACTGATATCAAAGTTAAAGAAAAGATGATTCCAGCATTATAGCTGAAGCTGTGTTTCACCTTGGAGAGATACTAAAGAGACGCTTAAGAGACACTAAAAGAGGGAGGTGGGTATCCGATTGCGTGTTCAACATCAGTCTTTTGTGATGTTTGGCTGTGGGAGTATGAAAGCAGCAACCAAGTGGGGTATTACTAAGTATCTCATTACTGTTTAGTCTGCAATTCAAAAATCTCAACAATAGTCCCACCAGTGATCAATACTAGCTGGTTAACAGTTGTGGTTACCAAATCACTGGTGCAAAAAAAGGTCAAAATAAGAACAGACAAACGTATTACTTACTTTTATTCATAATTTGTTATGGCGCTTAAAACCTCTCAAAAACAAGACATAGGCTACTTTATATTAACTAAATAAATTGTAAGAATGGAAAAATGGTCACAAGTTGCTTTACAAGAAAAAAGAACAGCTCTCTCTCTCTCTCTCTACATACACACATAAATATAATATACATATAATATATACAAAAGATAATATAAGCTACATACATTGTTTTCATCTATGTTGCAGGAATATAGTAGGCTACAGCACATTTCCTACTTCTACTGCATGTAAAAATTAACTAGGCTACAGGGTATATCAGACAAAATTTTAAAATAAATATTAAAACAGGCCCGTGAGGGATTTTTTTTCGAGGAAGATATGTAAATTCATATTAACCGAATCAATAAACCATTGCAGTTTTACTGATATGCTCATGTTAGCCTACATAGTCTTGATCATGACGCGTGATATTTTTTTTCCCCGATCACCAACAAAACACTTCAAAATACTATCACGCAGCGCAATACACAGACTAGTATGGCCATTATGAACTTTTATACATGAATGAAGAACCCTATTCCGGGCTAACATCTGAGTCATTCCACGAAACCGGTACGATTTGGACTTACACATTTTTTGATTTTTTACCAAAATATATTACTTTTCTGAACACCTCACAACATTAATGACATATTTAACTTCCAGAAAAACATATTTTCCCACCTCAGGCATCAAATCCCTATTATTATTGGTCATTATTTTAATATATGGGCACTATTAGTCTTCAACCCCGTTATGGACACTATGGGAGCTCTCTGAATATGATTATAAAATGTATTTGTAATGAAATCAACATTTTCCTGTTAATCAGATGTCCCTCACACTAATTCCGTATTTGCAAATATAATGGGCTGAAATGGGCACTTTTTGTGACAGCAACCTCATCATTTTTGATCAAAGAAGTGGCTTAACTTCAGAATTTGAACCCTATCTCAACATATGATCATAGAGCTCAACTAGAGTGACCATCAGATTCTTGGTCACCAGTCTAACCAAAGCCCTGGCTCAGTTTAGTTCAGTCCATCAGCTCTAGGAAGAGTCCTGGGCTGTGTTTCCCAAAAGCATTGTATCGTAGACCCATTGAAACAATCAACTTAGGCTTACGATGCTTTTGGGAAACGCAGCCCTGGTTGTTTCAAACTTCTTTCACTAAGAGTAACGGAGACTACATGCTTCTGCAAACCTTCAATGCTGCAGAAAGTTTTCTGTACCATTCCTCAGATCTGTGCCTCGCTTATTAAAGGAGACATTTCAATTAATACAAAAAGCTTTTAAAAATAGATTTTGGTGACCCAATAGATAAAATACACTTAAAAAGGTCAGAGGGACTCAAATCGTACCGGTTTCGTGGAATGACTCATCTACTCACATATCTGAAGATGAACTCCATCCTCCAAATGTATATGTGGCTCTGTCGATCAGTCTGGTTTTGATGTCCTTCATTAATTTGTATTTTACCGACATTTTAATTAATTTAAAGGTTTCTCTGTACTCGCTGTCTTAAGCTGGTTTGACTACCACTAATGTGATGCTGAAAGGTGATTGGTTTGAATTATTCACTAACAATAATTGGTTAAGGAGGCAAATTTAGTCGCCAAATTTTTAAAGCCGCCATGTGCTTTTATAGGTCGCATTTTGGATGGAAACAAATGACGCTGGGTCATTTGAATATCCAATCTGAATATCTTTAGTAACTAGAGGAGCCAATCTCCTGTAATCTTTAAAACCGCGAATCAAAGAATATATATATATATATATATATATATATATATATAAATGATCCTTCTGACCAATCAAATGCTCTCTAGAATCCGAAGCGCCCGCCCCCTGCACTATAAATAGACGCTGAAGCTGTGGCTAAGATCGGTCGCTTGTTGACAGTGTAGTAGTTCCTGTACGTTGAATGGCTCGAAGTGCACAATGTAGGTGATAGGGAACGATTCAGACAGTGTAAATATGCTTTCGATTGGTGCAAATGAGGTCTGGTTTCACGTTGTTTCACGCGAACCGCGGCAGCACACAGTCTGATCCGAACTTTGGCTCCGGTCCAGAGACACGATCGCACAGAGCGGATCATATGCGCGAGTCGGCATATATTAAAAACATTTACAACTAACGTTACACAGCCTCAGCATGATTATGACTACTATTTTGTTTTACTAAGAGTTTCATATTCAATCTAGGGGGTAATCTATTAGACTGTGGCTGTCAAATACGGCTTTACCGAGCTCAACGGCTCTGGCCCGAGCAGATATAAACTAAATGCTATTGGCTATTTTAAAAAAGGGGGCGGGGCTGATCGATATGTCCCGCCCTCTTTTCCTGTTTCAGTTGAAATTACGTCACCACATAGAATAATGCTGCGTTTCAAGGCACTTCAGGGGACCTTTAACATGAGATGAGTAAAACAAACAGACTTTAAAATTACATTGAAATGACATCACATTTTTACTCCAAATATAGGTGTTTTATTTTATCTTTTAATTAAAATAGCATTTTATAATGGCAATGGTAGCATGTTATTTTACTGGAATACTGGACAGTAACTCCGCAACAGAACTGCTGAAGATAATGGATATGTGATAATAGTGTTAAACATTTGGTAAAACTAAAGTATGGTAGCCTACATATTAATAGATTAATGCACATTAAAGGATATTTCTAAACTCTGTCAGATATGGGATATTTCAATATTCAGTATGAAATTTAGACCAACTGCTTAATCTAAACACGTTTAATTCTTCCATTAATAGAGTGTGAGAGAGAGAGATTGGGAGGAGGAGCAGATCATGTGGTTTTGGCTGTGTGCTTGACACTGCTTCACAGCTGTCAGGTGGTCCACCCATTACACCACTAGACTATTTTAACAAACATTGCATTATGTGAAGAATTTCTAAATTGGATTATGTCACATCCAAAATGCATGAGAACAGTCCAGAGAGCAGTAAAGCATAACTGTACTAACTTTCCAGGTGTTGAGAAGGGTGATGCCAGGACCGTCAGCTTCAATCCAGATGACTTTCTCATGTGTTTGGGTGCTGCTGGTGTCGCTTCATTATTGCTCTGTTATTCTATAAGATTATTAAGTTTCATTCCCCTTTGCATAACAGCCAAGCGCACATACAACGTATGAGACAATTTAGCAAATACAATAAGCATGAAATATCTAAGGTTTGCTTAAGAGGAAAATTGCTCTATTTTTTTCTCACCATGTCAGAATAATCAGCCTTTCATAATTGAAATGGTCTAAAACATATCACAGAAATGATGAAGCAATGTGACACTATAGCACAGATAAACTGGAGAGAAAAGCGTACAGTGAGCAAAGAGACTATTATGCAATTAATTCTCCAATTATGTAAGCATGTTAAGATTAAAAAGTTTAAATATATTATCTGTCCATTCAAAATGAGCCTGTACTGTAGAGCGCAGTTTTTAAAGCAGTTATTGTTAAGTCAAATTTTAATGTCTAATTTAGTCAAAACAAACAATGAGATATTTGATCACATTGATGTAATATTTACTTTTCTAGCCCAATGGAGGGCCGAACAGGCAGAACTTTATGGACGTGCTGCTCTGGATGCACTTGAGTCCAGTACATCTGCCTGTAGGCGTGTTACATAATTATCTGTTAATAATAGCCTCATTAACAGAATTGATTACTGTTAATTCCTTAGGCATGACGTTAGAACCAGCACAGCTATTCGCAGCGCAACCGATTGTCTTGCAAACCAAAAAATACCTTTCAAAAACAGACAGTTGTGGTTTCATCACTCGTACACCAAGGACTGACACAGATAAACCAAAGCATTTGCACTGAATCCTGTTCTGGTTGATGAAGATTACAAGCACTTCTATAGAAGTTCATTGTATTGTTGGATATGTTAAAGAGTTTGAACATTAAACGGGCCACACTCCTGACGGGAGGCTCAATTTTCTTTTGGTTCAGACAGATGGCATGCAGGAAATGGACCGAGATGAAGCTCAAACCGCCAGTCTCCAGACTCCCTTTTTTCCCTCTGTGGGCTGAACCCATAAGCTCTGAACACACTACAGAGACTACAAATCAGCAAGAAACAAGATGACTGAACTGCACTGCAAGATGAGGTGAAGATGCATGAAAAATCTGCAGAGAATGTGGTTAATTACACTGAACTAATATGTTTTGCTCTGTGGCTGCAATTAAAACATGTTGTGAAGCAAAATGTCAGTAATATTAGTTGTAAAGCCCCGGAAATATCAAATAAAGTACCTTTAAAACTGTTAACAGTTCTGATGTTTTTTTACTAGGCCAACAGCTACAAAAGTTTCAATGGAATTCTCTGTATGGAGCTATATTGTAATCAGGAGGTTAAACATTTGACTAGTTTATTGAGAATCTTGAAATATTGTGCAATATTTGTGAACTGTCCAAGTTTGTGAATGTAAGAACAATGAATAAAAAAATCATTTAAAGCTCATTAAAACACACAAGGTCGATATTTCTCAACTGATATTTCTTTTTAATCAATCATGACATAGAAACTGTTGATCTGAAAGCATTTCTCTAAATGGATCGATTTTTTAATGAAAACATTTAAAAAGGGGAGAAAAAAGTCACTCATTGGCAATAATAACACCAAGTTGCTTTAAAAGACCTGAACATCAATTAATACTTTATTGAGAGCTTCATATTAGGCTGGACAGGTTTTCTATGCACATACATATTTTAAAACATTAATATAAAAACAATCCAGTTTCCTAGAAATAATTAAGGCAAAATACCTGCTCCTGCAATAAAAAACAATAAAAAAACCAACACCTTTTTACATCTTTTCTACATCAACTCTAATGAGAAGGAAGTATGTGAGGCCAGTGAATGAGAGAACAGTGCCTTTAATAGCAAGTGGAAGCCTCCTACATCCTCTTGGTGACTCTTTTAAAGAGTGCAGCAGGCCTCAATGAGCTCAACTTGGGCTTACGCTGGTCAAGCTGATGGAGGTTTCCCTCAGACACACTCCGTACTACTCTACGGCTTGGCTCATTCTCTGATGATACTAGATGCGGTGGAAGAGAACAAAGAAAGAATAAAGATTAGAATAATAATTATTTTTTTATTTAAATTTTAAAAAATCTGGAAAATCATAACTGATTGCCTAAAAATATTGAAAATAATTTTTTCTTGAGCGCCAATCAGCATTTTAGAATGATTTCCGAAGGATCATGCGACATTGAAAACTGGAATAATAGCTGTTGAAAATTCAGCTTTGTATCACAGGAATAAATTATATTTTAATTAAATTGAGCAATTCCAAGAGGGTCCTCGGCACCATTGGTGCTTGGGCCCTAAATAGGCCATTTTAAGCTGTAATAATTCCACAATATTTTGGGTTTTCCTGCATTTGTTATTAAATATATGCAGCCTTTTGAACAATAGTTCAGCAAAAAATGGCATGCCAAATGATAATTTTTTTAGTCAATCGACTGCATGATTATTTTTAGACATTGGTGTCATATATTACTGCGGTTATTTAAAGGCAGGGTATGTGATTTTTCAAAAACACTTTAGAAAACTGATTCGGGCCGAATCGCAAAACAAACTTGTAGCCAATCAGTAATAAGGGGCGTGTCTATTCGTGATGTGGAGGAGAGCGTGTTCAGTGCATGGGACGGACATTAGCCGAGCCGAGCGACAGAAAGATAGAGATGGCAGATAAAAAAACAAAAGAGGAAAACGTCTGCGGAAAGATAAGGCAAGAAGTAGGACCCATCAATATTGGCTACCAGAAATCACTTACTCTGCCTTTAATTTAATAGAAGCAGTCATGCCTAACAACACCTTACTAACATGGCAAAAATCACTGTAAGGCACGGCCTCTAGTGGCTTATTACTTTATGAAACTGGGGTAAATTCAGCCAACTCGTGGCATTATATTACTAAGGAGAAAGAACGCGCATAAGCCACTGGGAGTGGGAGGAGGAGATTGTGCGCTTCTGGCTGTGCGCCTGACATTCTTTCACAGCTGTCAGCCAGCCCGCCCATTACACTATTACAATACTTTACCAAACATAATGGATTATGTGAGGACTTCATAAATGGAATATAATAAGAGACGCTTATGTTCCACTTCCAAGATACAAATGGAAAGCCCATAGAGGATAACTGTAATTTTTCTGCATTGAGAATAGCACACTAACCTCCAAAATGTCGGATTCGCAGTGGTTTAGACGCCTCGCAGAGATCTCTCTTTATGCGCTTGGGTGCTGCAGACGCGGCCTGAGAACTGTCCTCTTTCCCAGTGTTGGAACTGACACAAAGAGACACAAAGTGAGATTTTGGAAAACACCAAGAGTGCAAAATGTCAAAGAGGCATGATTTGAAACAGCCCCAGCGAACAGGTCCCATAATAAACACACACCAGCTGAACTTGCGCTTGACCTGAGCA